AGATGTGACCCCGTTGACCCCCGCAGCCCGCGGGGACCCGCACCGGGCTGCGGGGTACCAGGGCACAGGGTGCCGGGGCGCGGGGTGCCCGTGCTGCCCAGCCGGGAGGCAGGCTCGGCCCCATGGGGTCCTGCCAAGGACTCCCTGGCCCCGGGGAGCTGCAGCCATGGAGGCCGGAGAAGCACCTCGGCTCCATGTGCGCCATCTGGGCTCTGTGCCCCCCGCACTGGTCACCTGCCCTCGGAGCAGCCCAGGCCTGCCCCAACCTGGCGGTGACCTCCTAGCACTGATCATTAACCACACTTATCAGGTGGCAGGTTCAAAGCCCTGCCTGGAGACTTTTGCCCCTGGTGTGGGCAGAGCCTGGTGTAGAGGGGGCTGCTGGAAGCAGTGAGGTTTGGAGCTGGCCACTGCTGAGATGGCCCTCAAGCCTCATGCATGGCCATCATCCCCATCCCTTCTGTTCCCTTTGGGTCTTCCCTCCTCAGAAGACCAAGTTGCCCTTCCATCCCCAGGATGGATGAGGAATAACCCAGCTTGTGCTATGGGTTGGTGCCTTTTGGTGGTTGCAGCTCAGGGTGCTGGTACTGGGAGGTGAAGGCAAAGGGAGCTCAGGGTGAGTGCAGGGGATGGGGACCTTCTGCCACGTCCTGCACACACCTCGCTGCAAGTCCTGCTGCACCCCTGCAGCCTCCCTTACGTAGGTGACCTGCTATAGCCACCAGTTGGAGGCAGGCATGTGGTGCTGAGGGGTCCCTGCATCAGGGGCAGAGCACGTTGGAAGGTTGTGGGGCACAATCAAGGCAAGGAGAGACTGATCCATCTCCCCCTGATGTCCCCATTAACCCGCTGTGCTCTGGTGCATCACAGTTGATGTCCCGGCGCATTTACGGCCCCATCTGGAAGTCGACCTTCGGGCATTACGAGAACATCAACATCGGGAGCCCAGAGGTACTGGAGCAGCTGCTGCGGCAGGAGGGCAAGTACCCCATGAGGAGCGACATGGCCCTGTGGAAGGAGCACCGGGACACACGGCGCCTGCCCTATGGACCCTTCACTGAGTGAGTCCCCTCTGCGGGCGGCAGGCTGCTCCTGCCCTGTCCCCGGGGCGATCGCCTCCGCTGCCAGGCCCAGAGAGGGCTGTCACTGCTCCCCTCTGCCAAGCAGCCCACGGATGGGAGGGTCGAGAGACCCATGGGCCTCGGGTGATGCCCAACACAGTGTGGGGAGGATGCGCCCGTGGGTACGGAGCTGGCTCCCACCCACTGCCCCCTGCCCGCCTGCCCCTGTGCTGACTCCGCATCCCCGCGCAGGGAAGGGGAGCGCTGGTACCGCCTGCGGCAGGTTCTCAACAAGCGGCTGCGGGGGTGCTGGTGGGTGACGTGGCCAACCTGCTCTACCGCTTCGCCCTGGAAGGTAGGGGGTCCTCGCCCTGCCCCGCTCGCCCCATCCCTGCAGGGCTCTGCACGGAGCTTGTCCCCCGCAGGGATCTCCTACATCCTCTTCGAGACCCGCATCGGGTGCCTGCAGCAGCAGGTCCCCGCCGAGACCCAGCGCTTCATCAACTCCATCAACCTCATGTTCAAGAACTCCATCTTCGCCACTGTGCTTCCCCGGTGGACCCGGAAGGTGCTGCCCTTCTGGGACCGCTACCTGGACAGCTGGGACACCATCTTCGCCTTCGGTGAGGGGTGGCAATGGGGGCTCGACTCAGCGGGACTTCTAAGGACCCCCCGGCCTTCCCACCCAGTGCAGCAGGGGCAAGCAGGGACCCTGCAGAGCCCTCTGGCCACCTAGAGAGGCCGGGGCACGCTTCTTCCACAGCCCCGGGCTTTCACCTCCCCACAGGTCGCAGGGGTTGATGGTGCCTGTGCAGGATCCCCAGCCCCTTGCCTTGGTCACCTCTCGCTTCATCAGCACTGGGTCCAACTGTCCTTGTCCCCGCAGGCAAGAACTTGATTGACCGTAAGATGAAGGAGCTGGAGGGGCAGGTGGAGCGGGGCAAGGTGGTGTCAGGCTACCTGAGCTACCTGCTGGCCAGCGGCCGGCTCAGCCTGGAGGAGGTCTATGGCAGCGTGGCGGAGCTGCTGCTGGCTGGCGTGGACACGGTAAGAGCAGGATCCCACTGGGCTCTGCCGTGGGGCATCGCTCTCTTGGGACAGGCTCTGCGCTTGGTGCCTTGAGCAGCCCCATCACTTGACGTGAGCTGGCACTGGTCCTAATCCGGTGTCCCTCACCTAGACCTCCAACACGCTGTCCTGGGCCTTGTACCACCTCTCCCGGGACCTGGGCATCCAGAACGCCCTGTACAAGGAGCTGGCGGCTGTCGTGCCCCCTGACAGAGTCCCTGGTGCTGAGGATATCCCCAAGATGCCGCTGCTTCGTGCTGTGATCAAGGAGACGCTGAGGTAGAGGCCAGCCTTGCCCCTTGCCCGAGGACCCCTGTCCCTACCCCATTTCCCAGGCCGCATGGCAGCCCCGTGGGACCAGGGACACTGGGGAGCTGGGGAGGCAGGTGGCAATCCTGGCGCATGGGGACATCTCCCAGGCAGGGTGTGCGCTTGGGTTTGAGTCCCCTTGCTGGCAATGGAGACGGAGCCCCTGAGCAATGTTCCCCCTTGTCCTACCCGGGGTTTTCTCTGCTTGGGGGGCTGGTGCCTGGTGGGACCTGCTCCTGTGCTACTTGTCCCCATGTCCTGGTGCAGGATCTACCCTGTGGTGCCCACCAACGCCAGGGTCTTTTGGGAGAAGGACATCGTCATCGGAGACTACCACTTTCCCAAGAACGTGAGTGGGGCTGGGCAGCGGGCCAGCGCTAGGAGGGGATGGGCAGGGGCCATTAACCCTCCCCGTTCCCACAGACCCTCTTCGTCCTGGCACACTACGCCATGTCCCACGACGAGACCCACTTCCCGGAGCCCGAGCGCTTCCTGCCCCAGCGCTGGCTCCGGGGCCACGGCTCCCCCCACCACCCCTTCAGCTCTATTCCCTTCGGCTAAGGGGGCCGTGCCTGCGGCGGGCCCCTGAGATGGAGATGCACCTGGCTCTGGCGAGGGTGAGTGTGGGGCACCTCCGGGCTGGGAACACGGTGGCGAGTGGGGCCAAGGTTCTGACGTGTCCCCCGCTCCTTGCAGATCATCCAGGCGTTCGAAGTGCGGCCGGACCCCCGCGGTGTGCAGGTGACGTCCGTGTCCCGCATCGTCCTGGTGGCCGACAAGCCCATCAACCTGGAGTTCATCGCCCGCCCGGCAGCCCCCTGAGCGCCCCGGGTGCTGAGCCGGAGCTGAGGGGAGGGAGGCGACTTCCCCTCCTCCCACCAAGATCCTGAATTCATGGGGCCCCTTGGCGCCCACTGAGCACCTGGCATCCCCCTGCCCGGCTTGGGCCGGCTCCCGGTGCTGCTGCAGGGAAGCGGGGGATGAGGCTGCCCCCGATCACACCGGGGCAGGGGCCTGGGGACCTGCTGTGCCTTTCACGTGCCGCGGGGGCCGGGTGCTGCCCGCCGGGGCGCCGCGGGGATGGGGGTCGCAGCCGTTTCTGTCTCTCCGTTGTGCCGTGCGTGTGTCGCTGCGCGTGGAGCTGTGCCTGCTGGGGCCAGGGCGCCGGGCCCCGTCCCAAGAGCTCACCTTGGCCGCAGCCAGCGCTCCGTGCCTCACTTTCCCTGCGGACGGGGTCCTGCAGGCGCCGAGCCGTCGTGGGGACACGGGGGTGGCAGGTGCTGCCGAGGGATGGATCCAGCCCCAGCCCGGGGCAGGGAGAGGGTGGCAGGCTGTGCCCCT